GTGCCGCTGAACCTACCGGGAGGAGGACCCCAATTTAGCCTGTGGAAGTTGAGAAGCCATGTGGAGGAGAACGAAGGTGCCCTGCATGACATCCGATTCAATGTGAGGCTGATAAGTGAGGCTATCTTTAATTATCCAGCTGCCAGTCAACTGCCAGCTGAGCAGAACACCTGAGAGTCCAGGAGAGATTAACCAAACCTGTCCAGACCAGAACTGCCAAGCCAATCCATAGAACTTGAGCTATTAAGTAAGGGGGAAAAATGATTGATTTAAGCCTCTAAGTTTTATAAATTTTTTTATGCAGGAGACTCTAAGTAATACAGTGACCTATATTAGGAATTTGTGATTCTGCTGCTGCTATGTTTCCTCCAGGAGGCGGGAAAATGCCAACCCCAGCTACTGGGAGTTTTGTCCAGTGCTCCTGTGATAGGTAGTTAGCTAGAAATGAGCGGGCAGCCCTAAGAAAATAACAGAAGGACACCTACCACATCAATGACAACTTATCAGGAGTCACAACCAGACCCTCCATGAAAATGCCTTCTGCCCACCCAGCTCCTGGCACCTTCACTAGGCAAATCCCATTTTTCTTCTTTAGTACCTGAGGGAGACACATAGCGAAGGTGGTAAATTTCCCTTTTATCATTCCTCACAAATACAAAAATACCCAACAAACATCCTGATTTCCACTAGGGAAATAAACTAATTAGGCAGTTCATCAAAATAAGGATACTCCTATCATCAAGGCTCAATTGGACATGCACAATTAGGTCATCGAACTCCTCAAATTCTTCACCTGTAAGAGAGATGCACAGCACAGGAATAAGCCCAGGAATTCAAACAAAGAACACAGATAACATGACACACCTCCCACTGTTAAATGTTCATTATCAGCTCTAATAATAAAAATAACACCTAGCCAGTCCCATGTGCAGATGCTACCTAGCAACCCGCCTGCCGAAACGTCTTTTTTTTTTTTTTCGAAACGTCTTTTGAGTATACTTCATTTCTAAAATCTTTCTTTCCTATTAAATTCTCTTTCCTACCTACTTGTATTGTGGTTGTGGCTTTATTTTGCGTCTCAGGGCAGGTCTCTAAAAACCAAGGATTTTACGCAATGCAGATCAACTCTCCCATCCTATGACACTCTAACATTTATTGATTACCCAGAGAAAAACATGGAAATAACAATGCTAGAATACCTAATGGGTATTAAATGTCTGTGTTCAGCAGGCATGGTAGTTAAGACGCTAGATGCCCTCATGGCTGACTGCAGTTCAAGTCCCTGACCTTGTGGCTTGAAGTTCACACCAGGCACACATGCATGTGTGCCCCAAATCCTAGAAGAAGGGTTTACAGCATAACCATCCCCCTTAGGGAGTAATTTCTCACTTTCCCTCTCACTGTCTCTCTCTTTCTCCAGCGAGCACATACACCCTATGATAAAAACCTTAATTTTTTTTTTAAAGAAGTCTGTATTTAGTGCGCCAGCAGAGCAGGGATACCAAGTGAAGCAAATAAGTAAGGGGCAATTAAGAACTATGACAAGAAGGGAACTTGGGGCTTGATTCTCGGCAAAGATGAGAAAGTTACTGTCATTTAACAGGAATTGTAATGTCAGAAACACAAACCGTGACTGCAAAAGCGTTTGGCATTTGAGATTTAAAACAATCCTTAAATACCTGCTTTCCTTGAGTAGAAGACAGACTTTGACGTCTATGGAAGATATGCTCCCAACGCACACTTCACATGAGACCACAGAGAACATAATCAGGAAGAAGTCTCCTAAAGCGAGCGGCTGAGAGCAAAATCAGAGCCTAATAAATGCATTTCTTCACCTTCCAGATAAACGACATGCATGATGTTCAATCTTGGGACTTCAGAATGGCTATGAGCTATGCACATTTTATAACTTTCATTCTCTTCCTTTCCAAATGCAAGTGTTTATTATGTATACCCAGTCCTTGTTTTATTACTGAGTTTTGGATGTGATGAGAGAAGATATCTTGTATTTTTAGTTGATAGGTCCCTGGACCAAGAGGAATCATGTCCAGATATGTGGAGAGGGTTCAGGACTTGGAGACAAATGGAACAACAGGATAAGACATGGCCTCTGCCTCTTCAGAATGGAGACAATGTGTGGGAAGAAGAGTTCAAGTGCAAAATCTCCATCAAGAAGGTACACAGAGGAGCCAGCAGGTGGATAATGGTTACGTCACTAGACTCCCACATGACCGACTGTGATTTGAGTCCTGGCTCGAAATTCACACCGGGAGTGTGTGTGTGCATGGCCAGAATCCTGAGAGGAGAATGGAGAAGGGATGGCAGTGTGGTCATCCCTTTTGCAGGGTGAATTCTTGCATTCTCTCTCTCTGTCTCTCCAGCAAGTGTACATGCCCTATAGGAAAATAAAATCAAATAAAAAACTCTCTAAAAAAAGAAGAAGGTACACATAAGGGCCAGCAGGTGGTGTACTTGTTAAGGCACTAGACTCCCATGTGGTCAACCACAGTTCGAGTCCCAGACCCAGTGACTTGAAACTCATGCCAGGAGTGTGTGTGCATGCCCAAGAGGAGGATGGAGAAGAAAGAATGGCAGTGTGGCCACCTCTCATAGCAGATGATTTCTCACTTTCTGTTTCTCTGTCTCTCCAGTGAGTGCACACACCCTATAGTACAAATTAAAAAAAAAAAAAAAGGCACATAGTGACTAGACGTCCACTGATCTTATTTTCTTCCTTTGAGGACATGGGAAAGATGGCATTCTTGGTAGTATGGAGACATGTCTAATCATGACTGGTCTGATCAATAGTATTCAGACAAGCCCTGTCCTTAACATTACCCGTGATAAACTGGTTTCCTCTCCCCACCCATGCAAAGGGAACCTGTAAGTAATCTTAAGTGATGCAGTCACAGAAAGGAAAAAATAGGGAACTCTGAGTAATCACTTGGAATAGAGCTGCAAAAGGAACCACTTGACCTGTTCCACAGTGTGATATAAGTATGAAATAGACTTGCGTTAAACTGTTAAACTATTTCAAGTTGTTTGTTATAGTCGTAAGCATTACTCTACTACATGTGTTTTCATTTATTATTTTTATTTTATGAATTCTTGCTTTTATTCTATCATTGTACATCTCTATAGCACACAACACCGTTTTCACAATCTAATCAGGGATATGACCAGGTACGTCACTTTTTCTTTCGGCCAAAGATAGTAGAAATCCCAAATAAGGGAGCAATTATGAATTTGAGTTCATGTTTACTGATCTAGCACCATAATTCCAGTCTCAGAACCTGCGAAGCAACCCGAAAAAGAATATAGAGACTGGATCAAATCATTGAGACTGGAGCTATATAGCCCCAGCTAGGCCCTACTTTACAGTATGTTCTTTCCACTCACTGAGGTTTATGCCTAAAGTCAGACTTGTGTTCATGGATATGTATACATCAGCCGCGCTTGCTATTGGAAATATTTAGATTAATTAAGTTCATTAGCAAATCAATTAAATGGGGGGAAAAGGCATAGAAAGCAGCCATGGATACCAGAGACAATGTGGGAGGAGAGTGGGGTACGACAAAGGGTGAGGGATAGGGAATCAAGGATGGCAAAACTTAAAAACAGCAAAATATACAGGAAATAAGAAATGGAAAATTATTTATTGATAACACCTATGTTGATGTCCTTGATTGAGCCAATATACAGTGTATTCTGGATGGGAGATCTCGTTTTGTATGCTGTAATGATGTATAGTGAATGAATGTAAATAAATAAATTTTTTTAAAAACTCTCAAAATCAACTTTACAAAGTACCACTGAATTGTTTACCAGAAAATTGTATCAATTAACACGCCCTTGACCAAAGAATCGGCTCTCTCAGTGATGTGAAACCTCTCTAACATATGGTATTGTCAGATTTCATTTTTATGTTTGCCAATCAAACGAACATAAAATGGAACCTCGTGTTCTCAGTTTGCTCTGATTAATCATGAGGCTCAGATTGGACATCTCTTTCTCTTGATCACTCCTGGAATATAAATAAACTTAAAAAAAAAAAAAAAAAAAGAGAGAGACTGGAGGTAAAAACAAAAGCTTTTGGTGTGGATGGTAAAGAAGGCCCTCAAGAGTAGTAGATGCAGTATATCCCGAAGGCAGCACTGGAGTCGACCTCATGAACTAGGGGGTTTCTTCTTGGCATCCAAGTCTTAATTTCTTCAAGCTTTTTAGCCAGGTTTGGTATGTCAGAGTTCTGAGCCAGATACATTCCAACCCCGTTGCCCAAAGGAAATCCAAGCAGGAACTAGAGCCCCATGTCGTCGAGGAGGGCGTGAAGGGTGGCTGCAGCTCCGGAGTCCAGTCAGAGCCTGCCTCCTCCTATCATAAATGTTTGAGGAACTGCCATATTGTTTCCCACAGTAGCTGTACTAATTTACATTTCCACCAACGATGTAGGAAGGATTCCTTTTCACCACAACCTCACTGGCACTTGCCATTCTTTGTGCTTTTTTATCATAGCCATTCTGACTGAGGTTAAGCAATACCTCATTGTGGTTTTGATTTCCATTTCCCTTTTGATAAGAGGTGTTGAACATTTTTCCTGTAAGAGCTGTAAAGCTTTGGCAGGGTTGAGAGCAACAACATAAAGTAAACTGTCAGATATGGATTTTAGAGCCATTTCCTCTGTCAAATCTATGTATGGAAAGACCAGAGACAGTCAAAAGCATAATGAGACACAAAAAGATGAATAGGATGCAAATGTTAAGGTATCTTTGTATCAGTTTGCTAGAGCTGTCATAGCAAAAAAAAAAAAAAAAGGGTGAAACTGAGAGACTTAAAAACAGAAATTTATTTTTTCAAATTCTGCAGGCTGCAAGTTAGAGGTCAAGGTCAATAGGGTTGATTTCTTTTGAGGCGTCTCTCCTCGACTTGCAGATGGCCATCAGCTCTTGGGATTTAAACATACTCTTCCCTCTGTGTGTCACAATTATTTGCAAAATAATTACATCCTAATCGCTCATCACAAGGACACCAATCATACTGGATTAGGGCCCATTTTAATGACCTCATTTTATTTTAATTACCTCTTTTTTTAATCATTTATTTTATTTTTATTGTTCTTTTTTTGAACATTTAATTGCTATCCATCATTTGACATGTAAAGAGAATTTACCCAACACGCAATGCATCTCAGATCAGTCTGGTTGAGAATACTATACACATTATCATCAACAGGTAATAAACCACTTCCGTGTCCCACAAATGTCTTGCCTCTCTATCTTTTTTTTCTCCCTGATTTCCTTCTCCCTTTAATTACCTCGTTAAAGATCCTGTCTCTAGATGCAGTCACATTCTGAGGTATCTAGGATTTGAACTTACACACATCAATTTTAGGGGGGAGGGTGACAAAACTGATTCCACAACAATGGGCAAGGTAAGGTGATGACTGAATGAGACTATGAGAGGCAAGTATGGAGAGCAGGTGCTATGGAGGCAGACCTGAAACGTCTCTGGCTGACACAATGGGGGTGGGGAGACACCAAGGAACAAAAAGTTGTTAAAGATGAATTTTAGAGTTGTAGTCTAAGTGTAATACAGTGAAGGCCATGTTTTTACTTCACAGTCTCTTTCTTTATCCTTCATGCCTTCACTTTCTAAAGTGACATCCTTTGAAATGACAGGTAAAGTGAATTTTCACCATAATTTAAAGAATAATAAGGTCTTCAGGGTTGAAAGATAGAGTTTATAATCCAGTCCAGCACTTTCATTATGGTCAAACCAAGGCCTAGAGTGGAAGGGTGACTTAACCGTATCCTGTGAGTGCCTTAGAATTTTCTCTACATCCTTCTCACTTCTTTGGGACTATGGACCTGGAGTTATGCTTACGTGACTCTCTAAGACTCTTGATCCCGTCTGTGGCATAAGTTCTCTAGCCAAAAATATATACAACTTGGTGCACGAACATCTAGCGTTTGGGGAATTCTCCGCATTCATTGGAGTGGTCTGGATTGAAGTCGAAGCATTAATAGGAATCGCTGAACCTGTCTGTGTTTCTCTCTCCAAGTATCCCAAGGACGGCCTTTAAGGATCATAAATGAGTGTTGTCTCATGGTTTTACAATAGGGGCAGTGAGAGGACTGATGTGGAAGTACTTTGAGAACTGGGTTGGAGGGCTAGTGTCTGCTATTACCATGATTACCATGTCTGGCTTTCAGACTGTGTTCCCCAGGTAATTATGTCAACAGAGACAAGGATAATTTTTCAGATTTAGATCCTGACTAGCATTAGCCTATGAACTGAGACATGGAAGCAACCTAAGTGCCTAACAACTGATGACTAAACTGAAAAAACATGGCACATATACAGCGGTGGGATACTACTAAGCTATAAAGAATAGTGAGTAGGAATTCCTCTTGCAACGGAGGGTAACCTCTAACCATTCCTGGCTGTGTCAATTAGGACTGGGTTCATGGGCTCACATTTTAATCACAAGAGGGCAGACAAAGCTCTTCTATTCACTACCTTCCACATTTAGGAGGTTGGTTCTGGGTAGGAAGAGTAAAATGTAGCTTTTCTAACTGCAACAATCATTTCCCATTTTGAGGAAGTATAGTGTTTGAACCCAGGCATCGTGAGTTCAAAGTCCTGCTACTGAACTAGCTATCTATGCCATTGGGGCAAGAAACATAATACTAGTTCCTATTTTATGAAGCCATTCTTAGGACAAAATGAGGTTACATATGGAAAGTGCTTAGGATAAGACTTTGCACATAGTAAATTCTCAGTCTACTTTGGATTTTTTTTTTTCCTCCTGGATAGAGGGCATGTCAATCTTTGGACAGTCAAGTGTAAATAAGGTCTTTTGGTAAGAGATAAATTTCAAAGATGAGAACATAAGGCACATCTTTGAGCTAAACCTTGTGCCAAACAGGCAAAAGAAAACCTTCCGGATCATACAGGCCTATCTCAGCTCTCCAGAATAAGGCACTAGATAAGAATCTGCGGCCAAGGTACAATTTGTACTAACCTGGAAAACGTCTAAATTCAAGGACCTAAAAGTACCTGGTTAGAGGCTCAGGAATGTAAGCTCCAGAGCCTATAAAATTCTCTTACTAAAAGAACTAATATTATAAGTCATATCCTGAGAGATTGTTTGGCAAGAGTTATATTTTAAAAAGCTGGAATGAGCGTATTTTCTTTAATGAGTCCTATAAAGACTCCCAAAAATCTAAGAACCATGCTGGTACACCAGATAGCTTTTTATCTAATCATTATAATGACTATCAAAATTCTAAATTCAAAAGGCTTAAATAAATACATAGCCTCACTTGGGTTTTCTTTTTTCGCAGGAAAGCGTGATAATCTAAACCTCCGTTGTTCATGGACACAGCACAGCAATTTTTCCCCACATTTTTCTTTCTTTTTCTCCTGTTCTTTGCATGACTTCCTGCATCTGCCATTTCCATAAAAACATCTTCTGATCCATCCATCTATTAAACAAAGAGATGAATATATAAATATATGAAAAGATACTATCATATCTACTAAAGATGTCAGTAGTAGTAGTAATAATGGTTAGAGTGAACATTGACCTTGACACCTAATAGCATTCTTGGGACCTATACATTTAGAACAACCCACTGCTGGGCTTGTTATGTAGTAGACATGAGTAGTTATCGCCCTGCTCCAACCAGCTCTAATTGAATTTTATTCCTATCCTTATGATGTTTCCCTCTCTGTCATTTTCACAGTCTCACTAACTCTGGTTCTACCTCTTGTCTAATTCTAGGTGTTTGTCAAGGAATGGGCCTAAGCATTTAATCATCTGGTTATTTTCCCTCCTCTTTTCATCATTCATTCAACAGCAATTTGTTGAGCAACTACTATGTGCCAGGCACTGTTGTAGGTGTTATCTCCAAGGATATTTAAAACAGAGCTTTGAACATTGCATGAATCCATTTAAATTGCTGACCGGGGCTGACATTCTGGATAGTTTAACACTCTGCTCTTTGCTGACTTACTATCTGTGACTCAGCTCTGCCTCGGTCTACAGCATATAGAGTACAGATCCAATGTCCACAGGATACTGGGTTCGGCTGAGAGATCATGGTATCTTGGTTCAAATTTCAGATTTTCTCTACTTATCTTTTCCTCATATTCCGATCCTGGGAGATAATTCCCAATTCTCTCTTTCTCATCAGCATGTCCAGACTGCAAAAATCTGAGTCACATTGACTCTTATTTTCCATTCCGGTATTTCATGAATCAATGGATCGATTCTTTCTCCAAAATGTCTCACACATTTGCAACTCCCTACTTTATTCCAATCATCTCACCAGATTTAAGGCAGGCTGAAATTAACTCAGAGTTAGCACAGAATAACCTTTTACTTCTAGAACAATACATGGTTGGCAAAGAAATTCAACTAGGAAAGCCGATCCAAGAGAGGATGTGACTTTTGACACCGATGACCCAAGGGAAAACCATGAAATTAAAGATCATTTAAAAAGGGACCAGCAGTTGGTGTAATGGCTATGTCGCCGGACTCCCATGTAGTCTACGCGGTTTGAGTCCTGGACCCAGTGGCTTAAACTCATGCTGGGTGCATGTGCGTGCATGCCCAAGATCCCAAAAGGAGAATGGAGGAGAAGGGATGGATTATGGTGTGGCCATCCCCCCTGAAGGGTGATTTCTCACTTTCTTTCTCCCTATCTCTCTCTGCCTTTCTGACAAGCGGACGTGCCCTATAGCAAAAACCTCTCCCCTAAAAAAAAAAAAAATCACCAAAAAAAAAAAAATTAAAGATCATAAATGTTAGAGCACCTGGGAAACCTAAAAAGAAAATATTACCATTAGAAAGTTATTTACTAGCAAGAACAAAGTCTCTGAAGCAAAAACATGCCAGATGTCTTAGGCAGCGCACATAGTCTAGCGTGGCTTGAGTACAGTGAATGAGAGAATGAATTATTAAGGAGCCTGTCCTTGTTCAATGTGTAATCCAGAATCTTCTGCTCTAACCCCCACTCCAAAGCTCGAGCCTTATTTTCACTAATGTAAAATGTGTAGCTCTCTGACATCAAGTTATCCTATGCATTTTTTACCACGTATTCTAAGACAAGAGCAAAATGCTTCCTCTGTTTTCTTTAAAAGCAAATGACAATAGAGAGGTAAAGTTATGAGCCTGGTTACTGCAAGGGGTGGCATCATCTGGAAGTGGGGTTAAAGCAAGAGACACCTGGGATGACACTCTGTTGACATTTAGACCAGAGGCTTTAAGGGCACTAGGAATGTTGAGCTTTCTTCTGCATCTGAAAGGGACCTCATATAAGACACCCTGGACTCTGAAGATGTTTTCCAGGTCACCTAGTGAGAAACACCATCACCATAGTCAGGGGCAACAAGGTGCCCTCATTATGGAGCAAATTTCATTATAAGACTTTTTTCTTTTTTTTTTTTTTTTAGTTTTTTGCCATAATGCACATGCACTTGCCAGAGAAATAGAGAGAGACAGCGAGAGGGAAAATGAGAAACCACATAAGACTTGGCACAGCTCTCAATCAACCCTCCATACATTCAGTTTTCCAATGATTCTATGGGTAGGACCCCATTTTTACTCTTGTTTTCCTCCCCTCCATGGTTCTGGTTACCTGGGGAAGTCTGAACCAGGACCACAAGGACAGCTAAGGCCAGCAACAAGAGTAGAATGTCTCCTGAGAGGTGTGAGGTACGACCCATACTTCTCCAACGAGCTGGCGATGCTGGGTCTGCACGCAGCATTTTAATAACCTAGGTAGAGCTGAGTCATGGACAATAAATCAGAGAAGGGCAGAGAATTACACCATCCAGGACATCAGCCTGAAGATCAGCACTATAAATTGACCATCTGATGTTCAGGGTCCTGCTGTAGAAGTCATCTGGGAAGGTGGAAGGGATCCGTGGAAGAGATTCAACTACCGCACACGTTTGTGGCATTGTGGAGAAAGCAGATCCGCTCTCCAAGAAGCCTATCCTTCCCCCCCCCCACCCTATGTTTTCATAACCTCTCTGCTTCTTTCTTTCTGTATATTACAAGACTTCAGAACTAAGTGTTCTTCTAATTCATATTCTCTACCAGATTGATATCCTCAAGGGCAGCTTTTAGTAGACTGTAAGACCCCTGATATTAGGGGTAGACTGTCATTTCTGTCTACCTAGAGCGTGTAGTGAACATGTGTTGAAAATCTTTGAATGAATGTATGCATGTATGACATTGACTCATATTGATAGATCTAGGAATTGGTGATTCTCAGCTAAGAAAAACCAGGTCCAGAGAGGAAAAGAGAATCATCTAGCATCATGATGAGCAAGAAAGAACAGCAAGAAAGATGAGTCCAACTCAAAACCCAACTCAAAGTCTAGCTATTTTTAGTGCTGCATTTTTACCTTAACTTCCTAATCCATATCCTTAATATCAGCCTTCCTGGGCATTTCTTAGACTCCAGCCTCAAATAATAGAGGAAATATACTTCCTGCGGATTCTCCAACAAAGAGAATATAGGAAAGCACACTGCCACCAGTAAGGCTCCATTAGCAAGGCTGTCTGTGGGCTAACTAGGTTTTCTTTTGGGGGTTCTGGGTCTTGTTTTATGGTCTTTTTTTTTTTTCCAGAAATTTTTGCGATAAGGCACAGACACTCACCAGAGAGACGGAGAGTTGGAGAGAGAGAAAGTAAGAAATCACCCCTAGGGGGATGGCCACACCATAATCCCTTCTCTTCCATTCACCTCTCAGAATTCTGGGCACACACGAACACATACCTGGCATGAATTTCAAGCTACTAGGTTGGGGACTCAAATCATGGTTGGCCGTGTAGGGGTCCAGCACCTCAACCACTGTGCCACCTGCTGGTCCCATCTCATGGTGCTATTTCACCTTAGGATGGACTAGTGTTCTTTTGTTCTAGGAACAGCCTGACGGAGTTCAGAAAATTATTTTGCACTTAGGATCTGGGCAGGACTTTCTGTAGGAAAGCAGTAAGCATGAATATTATGCACTGAACTTTCACTGTCTGCTCGCAACTATGTTAAGCTCTTTACATACATGCCCTCGTAAAATCCTCTGAAGAATCCTGATACACGAGTGCTATTTGCTCAGGCTTGCACAGTGTTTATGGACTGAGATCTAGATTCAGATCTGATTTACTGGTCCCTGGAGCACATGTTCTCTCTCATCAGAGCACATATCTCTGAGAGGATTACATCTGATTCGTAATGGAAGGAGAAGCCTGTTTAAACTGAAAAGCGGTAATGAGCCAAAGAGAGCCATGGTTGTTATCTTTAAGTATCTGACAAGTATGTTCTGTGCAGGTCCAGAAGGCAGAACAAAAAGATCTGAGTAGAATTTGCAGAGTAGGGCAGGAGAGGGGAATCAGAAAGATGTCTCATAAATTTCCAGATGTTTGGAACTATCTGGGAAAGGACTGGATTGCCTGGGGAAGATGGTGGCTCCCAGAGTCCTAACGCTGCGAACTGAGTCTACATGACTACTTCCCTTAGATTCTGCAGGAAACACCACTGAGTTGGTTGAGTGTGGATCTATATACTTGGCTCATTCTTGCACTGGGTCTAAGAGGAAAAAGCAAAGTCCCATTGTGTTAATTAGGGAGTAAAACAAGGAACATAATGTCAGGTGGTGGGAAGTGAAGTGCTATAAAGAAAAATAAAGTCGAATTAAGGGGGACAGAAAAAGACAAGAAGTGTGTGTGTGTGTGTGTGTGTGTGTGTGTGTGTGTGGCTACTTTGAGCAGGGCAGTCAGAGGGGGAGGACCCTTTGAGGAAGTGACATTGAGCAGGATCTGAATGTACTGAAGAATTGAGCCAAATCAAGATCTAGACTCTTCCATGCAAAGAGAACAATGAGAACAAAGTCTCCAAGGCGAAAACCTGCAAGGTATCCTAGGCAGAGCAAGTAGTCAAGTGTGGCTTGAGTACAACGAATGAGAGGATGAAGAAAAGAAACTAAAACCATAGAGGTGGGCAGAGCCCCATGACATCAGAGTTTATTGGTCCTCATGTAAGACTTTGAACACTCATTTGGAATGTACTGAGATATTGTGATTTACATGAAGATGGTCTTCCCAATCTGAAAGTTCATTTCTGTCTATGAGACGTGACTTTCTCCACCTAAAAAATATGTGGCTAAACGACTGTTTCCTGAAATGCGTGACCTATGTACGATATTGGCAGTACGTGTGATTACTTTGGTGGCACAGTAAAATACATATTTTAATAGTTACTTATTTTCAAATAAGTATTTTAAATCCTCTGCTCCACCTATTCAACTCTCCTCCACCAACTCCTGGCAACCACTGGTCTTTTTCCTGTCTCCAATGGGGTTGCCTTTTCCAGAATGTTACATAGTTGGAATCCTACAGTGTGTAGCCTTTTAAGGTAAAATTACCCACCTAGTAAAATGCACTTAGGTTTCTCCCGTGCCTTTTCAACTGAATTCAGAGGTGTGTGGGAGATGAGCCATGCTCTCTGCAGCTCTGTACTTCTCTCCCTGCTGCTCACTCTGCAGGCTCTCTTCTCTGAATTTTAGTCATTTGGTGGTGTATTCACTTTGGGCTAATTGATTAGAGAAGGTTTAGGCAACTGTAAGATCATGTGCTTCCCTTTACTGTAAGGTACTTCTGGGACGATTTCTCTCCTCTACCGTGTTTTGCAATGTGGTATCCACAGAAAGAGATACTGAGTTCAGATTTATAAAGAGGAGTTTCTTCCTTCAGGCAGCAGGTTCAGTAAGGTTGAGGATTTCTATGACCCTGTCTGAGCTCTTTCGGGGTCTGGAAGATGAGGTTTAGAGCAGAGATTCAGTCACCTTGGTCCCTGAATACGGCCGGACACACCTCAGATTAAAATGGCTTCTGGCTGAGCTTTTTTGGGTTCTCCCATGCCTTTTCATGGTTTGTCAGCTCATCCCTTTTTAGTGCTGAAAAATATTCTGATGTCTGGATATATCATAGTTTATCAATTCCCCTACTGAAGGCCATCTTAGTTGCTTCCAAGTATTGGTAAATATGAAAAAATTACTATAAATATCTATGTGAAGATTTGTGTGTAGATATAAAATTTTAACTCCTTTGGGTACATAACAAAGAGGGCAATTTCTGGATTGCATGATAAGTATTATGCATATTTTTGTGAAAAAAATGCCAAATTGCCTTCCAAGTGGTTGTACCATTTTGCATTTTCATAAACAATAAATGAGAGTTCCTATTGCTTCACAATCTTATCAGCATTTGCCAGTGTTCCAGATTTTGGTCATTGGTATGCAGTGGTGTTGCATTGGTATTTCATTGTTCTTTTAATTTGCATTTTTCTGATGACATGTGATGTGAGGCATAATTTCATATGTTTATCTGCCATCTGTATATCTTCTTTGGCAAAGGCTCTTTTGAAGGTTTTTATCCACTTATTAATCAAGTAGCTTGTTTTCTTACTATTGAATTCTAAGTGTTCTTTGTCTATTTTAGATGACAGTCCTTCATTAAATGTGTCTTAAACATTTTCACGGTTTATGGCTTGATCTCTCATTTCTTTTGCAGAAAAGAAATTTTGTTTTTTGGTGGCTTTTTGTTTGTTTGTTTGTTTGTTTGTTTGTTTTCAAGAGAGATTTTTGCTATAGGGCATGTGTGCTTGCCTGAGACACAGAAAGAGAGAGAGAGAAAGTGAGAAATCACCTCATAGGGGGATGGCCACACTGCAATCCCTTCTTCTACATTCTCCTCTCAGGATTTTGGGCAAGCACAGACATGTGCCCAGCACGAGTTTCAAACCGCTGGATCTGGGACTCAAACCACAGTCGGTCATTTGGGAGTCCAGCACTATAACCACGACCCCACTTGCTGGCCCCAGAAGTTTATCATTTTAATGAAAATGTAATGAAATCCAGCTTATTTATTATTTCTTTCATGAATCGTGCCTTTGGTGCTTCATCTGGTAAGTCGTCATCATACCTATGAAAATTTAGGTTTTCTCTTATCTTATTTTCTAGAAATTTTATCATTTTTCATTTTACATTAAGTCTATAGTCTCTTTCAAATTCATTTTTGTGAGGAGTGCTAAGTCTGGGTCTAGATTCATTGATTTGCAGATAGATATCCAGTTGCTACAGCACCATTTATTGCAAAGCTATTTTTTTCCTTTGTATTGCCTTTGCTTCTTTGTCAAAGATGAGTCTATAATATTTATAATATTTATGTGGGTCTATTTCTGGCTGTCTGTTCTGTTTCACTCATCTATTTATGTATTCTTTCATATTCTTTCTTTTAATATCATGGTGATTTAATTATTGTTTGTTTTTGCTTTTGTTTTTGGTTTTTGTCTGTTTGTTACAGGGCATATGTGCTCAACAGAGAGAGACGAAGAGGAACGGAGAGAGAAAATAAGAAAGCACCCTCTCCAGGAGGTATGACCACACCACAATCCCTTCCCCTCTACTCTTCTCTTGGGATTTTGGGCACACACACCAGGCATGTTTTTCAAGCTGCCGGGTCTTGGACTTTAACCATGCAGTCAGCCATGTGATATCCAGTCACCTTAACCACCATGCCACATTGCTAACCCCAGATAGTATTATTTTATACCAGCAAAATTGGTGTTTTAGAATGGCTTGGCAGCCTACATTTCTCACACCTCTATGGATTCACATCTTTAGTTACATAACTCTACAGTAAACCTTTTAACTCTAGATTTGTCCAAGTCACTTGCTTTGGATAATGGAGTAAAATAGATGTGATGGTGAGTCAGTTCCATTCCTGCCACTCTGGAAGCCTTTCATTTAAACTCATTCTCTCTGTGTAATTTGTTTCTGCAATTTCCCTAGGGAGGGTAGCCTACTATTGGCAGAAGAAAGAAGAGACCTCTGAAGCAGAGCAACCAAGCCCCAATCAGCCCATCAATGCACTTGTGTCAGCTAACTAGAAGTTATATAAGTACAAGCCCAACTGAAACAGAGATATAACAGGTAAACAAACACATCAGAAATCATTGCCTATTGTTACATGACACAGAATTTTTCAGTGCTTCCTTACGTAAGTAACTTAGCACACACTTACATGTCACAAGCGCTCAAACCAGTAGCAATAACAATAATTGTTTTAAGCATTCAGTTTAGGTAATATATAAATATGTTTCTCTAAGTCATTAGGTTTAATGTGTAAGGACAGTATGTTCAATAAAGACAGCTGACGTGAAGCCAGCAGGTGGCATGATGGTTAAGGTGCTAGACTTCCACATGGTCAACCACAGCTTGAGTCCTGAATCTGACAGCTTGAAAATCATGCTGAGCATGTGTACATGCATGCCCAAAATCCCAGAAGGAGAATGGAGAAGAGATTGTGGCAGGGGTATCCCCACTGGGGGTTGATTTCTCACTTCCCCTCTCCAGTGAGCACATGCGCCCTATATCAAAAACCTGAAAACAAAAACAGATTTAAGTTTCCAGTGCATCTTGGCGTTCCAGAAAGTTTGGAACTGGGTTGCATTAAAGTGTACTTACAAGAATTCATGCAGCATTGCCAGGGAGGAAAAGTGAAGAATTTATATTCATGTGTACTTGTTTACCTATCTGTCCCCCAAACATGGAAATGCCCTAGTACCACCTAAAGATGATAACACAAAGTGCTTCCAGAATTATCTTTCGAAAACTAACAAAATGAAGTTGTTAAAGAGCTGAAAGAAGATTCAATAGCAATAAAAGGAAGAAAGAAATTATTATCTAAGTCTGTCTCAGATCCCAATAACACCCAATTTTAGATACTGAGATAGCTTTTACCCAAATATTGGTTAATTTCAGCTACTTAACAATCTTCCTAGAAGGTGGGTGAGTGTCCAAAGAAGATGAGACCATGATTATATTCACAGATGCGATCGCCACGACACATGCACAAAATTCCCTGGCATGATCCATTCTCAGAACCTTGTGGTAACTTCTGGACATTCTCTGCTATTGTCATTGCTGCTTCTTTCTGGTTTTGCTTTTTTCTTCTTTGTCTGTTTGTCTGGGCAGATAATGTTCTCCACCGGAATAAAACAGTCTTGCTTCATACTCTCTGTGTGTCCTTGGGCATATTACCTAACTTTTGAGCCAACCATTTTCTTTCTTGAGGGCTAAATGTGCTCATCTGTAAAATGAAGAGTCAGAATTAGGTCGTTGGCCAAGCCTCAGGCAGACAACCTGGATCACATTGGATGATCACATTGAGGCCTTTACCTAGGCCTCAGTTTCCTTTCCTGTAAGTGGAGCTCCTCATCTAACTGGGTTATAGATGATGACGATGCCAACTTACCTGGGAAGCATTCTGAAATTATGCTTAGCCTCAATAAGAATTTTCTGATTAAGCCAGGGATGCCTGCTTTGGCCACAGAAATGGGCAGGTGCATTATATATGCTATACATTTGATGCTCCATACTTTACATTTGATATTCTAATCTGAGGGTCCCTTCCAGGACATTAATGATAAAATATACTTATCCACATACGTAACTCACGACAAAAGCAATGTTTTAATTTAATGTTTAGTGTATGTCTCTGATCTGATGGGAGCACATAGAAAGATACAAATAATACAGGCTAATAAAGAAGGATGACAAGATTAAAAATTTTCAACTAAAATACCTAAATTAGACAGAAGTGCAGTGATATTAAAATAGATGTAAGCCATACAATCACAGAATCTATTTAATAACTGAATCTAATTTCTTTGGTCCTCAGCCTCTATTCCTATTAATATTTTTAAGGAGACAGTCAATTCTGTCAATTTTGCAGGGACAATACCAAGAATCATTAATAATTATTTTCTTAGTGATGGAAAATTTTTTTTCTTTTTTTAGATTTTTGCTATAGGTGTGTGTTTTCTCCAGAGAGAGAGAGAGACAGAGAGAAGAAAAGTGAGTAATCACCTCTGAGGGGATGGCCAGGCCCCAGTCCCTTCTCCTCCATTCTCCTCTTGGGATTTTGGGTTCATACACACATGCCTGGTGTGTCAGCCATGTGGGAACTCAATGCCTTAGCCACCAGATCTGCTGGTCCCTGTAAAGGAGAATTTAATAAATGCCATGTAGGCCCTCTCTCTCTCCTCTTATCTGTATGTCACTTTACCCCACCTCAACTACTCCCTGTTCTGCCTTGTCTATCAATGGCAGGGCAGAGAATGGGTACACTAACAAAACCTGATGCACAGCATTGGAGTATCCATCTATGCTGTGTCTCTGTGAGTCTTTGGAAGGAAGGCTCCATGGCCGTGGTCCTTGAAAACTATTCTCACAGAATTCACATCCAATGTTATTTCGATTAGGTTATGTTTGAGGGTCCATGAACACTCACACGCTGCCATGCATTTTTCTTTATTTTTTCTAGAGGTTTTTGCTGTAGGGCACTGGCGCTCGCCAGAAAGAGAGATAGAAAGCGAGAAATCACCCTCCAGGGGGGATGGCCACGCCGCAATCCCTTCTCCTCCATTCTTCTCTCGGGATCTTGGGCTAGCACGCACACACGCCCAACATGAGTTTAAGCCACCGGGTCCAGGACTCAAACCGCAGTCAGTTACATGGGAGTTCAGCGACATAGCCATTACGCTAACTGCTGGTGCCGTTGCCATGCATTTTTCTGACACCCTTGATTCTATTGGAACTAACTGACATCTTGTAATACATCTGACTTTGTTTGACTTGCATCTCTCAACTGCATTGTCACTTTCCTCATCTGCATGAAAAATCCTTAATCAAGCTTTAGGTTATCCTGTCTATACAGTTTACTTTTCCAATCCATTTCTTGAACATCCTCAACTACATTTCCAACAAATGAGAACATGAGAGTCCTTACTGAAAAAATGAGAAAGAAAAAGAAGAAAGTAAAAAAGAAAAGAGAACATTCAAACCCAAACAACTCAACATTATAAATGGACTACTTTCTCCACCCAGATATACTGTCCTGTATTTTAAAAAACATATGTCTTGGAGGCCAGCAGGTGGCATGGAAGTTAAGGCACTGCATCCTGCATGGCCCACTGCATGGTTTGAGGCCCAAACCCAGTGACCTAAAAAACATTCCAGGCTTGTGTGCATGCATGTCCAAAGTCCCAAGAGGAGACTAGAGGAGAAGGGATTGCAGTATGGTGTTCCCTGGAGGGTGATTTCACACTCTCTCACTCTTTATCTCTCTG